CCTCAGCGACCAGCACAGGTCAGCTCTAGGCATGACGAAGCGGATATCGTCCTCTTTTGGAAGATCAAACAAAGTAGTTTCGCTTTCACATGAGGCACACAGCGTCTTCACGACATGGCGGCAGTGGCAACAACAAAACTACAGCGAGAATAAAGTTAGGTCTTCTTTCTTTGCGTGAACATTTGGGCGGTGTTATGCAAATCTTCCCAGATCGTGACGTAGGTATGTGGGGGCGTGTTAGAACGAGCCGTTTTAGGTAGGTGTGGCTGACTCTTAACTTTTATAAAGAATATCTCTTTGGATTTGAGACTTTAGTCTTTGCAACTTTACAGATCTTCTTTATGCACCAAGAGCTTGTAACACTCCAAAGAGAAAGGAAAACTTGAAATCGCATTATATGATCCCTTTAACCATATTTCAAAGACAATAGAATTATGACATTACATATAAAATGTACTTAAGTCCTACTTAAGTGGATAAAAACGCATTTTAAAGTTTAACTAATTGCATTTAATATAAATTCAAATATAATGCATTTTCATTTAATTGCAATTAACATGCATTTAAGTGTTGGAAAGCATACAGTTCACACCCAAGTTTTTGTGAAGTTGTAAATGAAAAAATAAAAAATAAAATAAAATAAATTCTAGAGTACGTTTTACAAGAAAATACTCTTTCAGTCTCTCTACTTATAAATGTCATGTTTGATTTAGTGTGTTACCTGCTGTTTCTTTGCAATTTTTTTTATGAAATTCACTAGCAGTTCCTGATTGAAAATCATTTCAAAGTATTTTTTATTGTTTTGCATTGCGTTGCATGTAAAAATAAAAATATAATTTATGACTGGGGCTACATTTCAAGTTTTTCTAAACATAGATGTGTGAATAACAGACCAAAATAAATATTTGTACCAAATCTGTATTGATAAAAGCTGCAACATTTATTTATTTATTTATTTATTTATTTATTTATTCCACAGAAGAAAACAAATAATGACATACGGGATTAAAAACTATAAATTTTGGTGAACAATCAGTTAAGTTAGAAGGTAAAAAAACTGAAATGAAATATGTGGTACTATAATTTATATGCACCGAATGAAGAGAGTCAGTAGTTTCTTCAGTCTGTCGTTGTTAACTCTTCTGTGTGCTGTCTGGTGTCAGTCTGCTGTTTGTGAGCTCACCCAGGAAAGGTGATATAATCTGGACATTTTAACTTCTGATATATGCAAGCAGAGCTGAGGAGCAGTCAGTGGCTTCCACACAGTCTCATGTTTACAGAGCCATCGGCCCGGGAAAGCAGACATATTCATTACAAACAACTGCGCCTGTTTTTAACACCCGCTCAGAGATAACAGGCCAGGTGAGGAAGCCGCACACTTGTCTAGCTAATTATAACATTTAGAAGGACAAAAGAGGATTGGGCGCTCAGGTGGAGGCCATTAACCTGCACGCTTTTACAACAGTGCATAAAAAAATTAGAAAATATAAGCACTGTTTCTTTCTTATTTTTATAAATATTGTGACTATAATGAATCAAACATACAGTACATCTGCTGTGTTGCATAATACATCATTTGACTATAAAAATGATGATGTTTGGCTCTTCTTTACTTGACGTTTGCTGCGCATTTGGCCTGTGCATTTACATAAACATGAATAATGTTCAGAATCAGTGCTGTTTAATAAGTGCCATCATAATAAGTGTGCTGTTATCTGAATAACTCCATGTGCTTATATTGAAATCCAGTGATGCAGAAGAGCAGCGACGATTGCATTCAAACATGAACGTCTTTCCTCGACACAACAGACTGTATTTTTGCATATCTCAGTGTGTTCGGCCGGATCCTCAGATGCTCATCTGCGTCCTTAATCAAGTTGACAGCTTTAGCCCTCTCATGAAGAGATAACAGTTTTTTCTAGACGTAAGCTTGCGTAAGTTTGCGGCGTGCGCTCAACACATTGTAATCACTGCTGCCTGGGTTTAAGTCTGCTTCAAGATCTATTGACTCCATCTTCAGTCAATAAATTATGCCCAGGTCGGGCCGACTGCAGAGATGAGTGCTGGATGCGTATGTGATGGACTTCACCTGCATCTGTGCCGGCTGTTTGTTCTGTGAAAGAAAGAACTTCATCATGCTTTTTTATGTCTGTGCCAATTATTATTAATATTATCATTGGTATTTTTTAAATGCACTGGAATAACAGCCGTAGGACCATGAGCACGGCCGATCTTGTCTGATTTGAGAAGCCAGGCAGGGTTTGGCTCGGTTAGATTGGACAGATAAGACAAAAACTACAACAAAAAACTATGGAAAAATCATACCAGCGTTAGGATATTATACTCATCTCGGGACAAAAGAAAAAAAAAATCCATAGTATTCCAATTATTCAATTTTTGGGGGATTTTTCCTTGCTGTACTTGTAATGTTCCCAGTGAAAAATAACCGGCATGCAAACAAAAATGTTTACCAAGTATTGAAATCGATCTTTTTTATAAACTTGTTTACTTTCAGTTAGCATGGGTTTGCATTTCTTTTTGGAACTGGTTGATCTAGGCCTCATTGATCTGATCTTATGCACTTCATATCTGAGTAAAAATTGCCAAAATTATCTACTTTTCTTCTTCTTCTTCTTCTTCTTCTTCTTCTTACCTTCTTACAATTCTTAAATAAAGGAACATTTACTTGAGTAGAACAATGGCATAAGATATTAAGTCTTGTTTTCTGAGAAAAGAATATCAATATTAAGTGATTTTATACTTAAAACAAGGAAAAATATCTGGCAGTGGGGTCAAAAAATTAGCTTTATTCAAATTCCCTTTTTATTTTTTTTTTTGCAGTGTAAGAAATGCAGGTTATTATTTATTATTATTATTATTATTATTTTCCCACTCAAAAACTTTAAAAGGCCAATAATTTTTGAGTGGGAGCACCAGATTAAGTAAAGAAATGTAAGCATAGCACAAAGGTTAAACATGGTATACACCGCATCAATCAATCAATCAATCAATCAACCATCCTTTATTTTTTTTTTTGCAGTGTAAGAAATGCAGGACAAGGCTGATTTGACTGTCTTAATGAAGTAAACAGCAGTGAAACGGGTCTCTTTACATTTGAGAACAGAGGCGCATGCTAATTACATTATAGTTCCTGTATATTGGCATTTGTTGATCTGGTTTTGTCATTATAATAACGTCATGAAAAGGTGAGGTGTTTCCCCAGCTATATGCTAATATTTATGTTGGACTCAAATTTGCCTGTGTTTACCCAGCAGTCACTGTGTGTCGATATGCTTGTTAAAACTCACAGCTAACACTGCTTTGTGGACATGGTTTTATCATTTGATTTATGATCTATATGAGATACTTATGAATACATATGCAGACTTCGAGTGTAAATAATGAATGTTGCTGTGTATTTAAGTATCGGTTCCACCCGTTTAACTGTCTGTTTGAGGAAATATAAGATTTACTAATATTAGTGTTCAATTTCACAAAATAGTTCATGTGTAAAGATACCTCGGCAGTTAATACCAGCCTTCTAGGAAAGAGTGTGTAGTCTAATTACTAGTTTTAAATTGGTAAACTTTGCCACTCGTGAACTGTTTGTGCTACAGACATAAATAATGCATCCGTCATGTTGAGGAAATTACTTAATTACTCACAAAGCAACACTCTGGCATCATGGAAAAGATTTGCATAAGCAAAAAGCACTTATGTTTTCATCAAAATTGTTATACATTTGTAAACAGCCACCTCCTGCGATCATTCCTCTGTTTTCCTTCACTTGTACTATCTTTGTCCAGCGATGGCAGTCATGCTTTGTGAACAGCCGGCCCAGTCTGTGAGGATTAATGGACATTTATATTTCATTAAATCTGTTGCTCAGAGGAGAATAATGTATCATTCGGCGATATTGAAACATATGTCAAGCCTATCCTCTTACCCATAATTCAGTTAGACTCACATGTGATGCTCAAGTGTTATTACAGGCCAATATATCATCTGACATTTTTGTTTAAATCTAATGCAGTGACATTTATTGATTTGTAATGCCCAATACACTAGTTGAAGTATAGTTTTGTCTAACAGGCCTCATGAAATATCATTGTGTGTCCCGATGAGAAGCGGTTCTACTTCTCAGCCTTCTGAAGAGCTGGGTTTGGGACAGACAGTCGGTCTGCTGTCAGCTTGTGTTCAGTCTGTCACACTACACTCACCTCCTGCTGTTTCAGTAATCAATACAGGCCTGAAATCAGCAGCACTCTCCACCTCCCACACTAGCTGTTTTGTCCTGCTATCAATAATGTATTTCGTTCCCCCTTTCTAGTCCACACTCCGTCGACTCCACGCGCTGCTTTTTGCCAAACACACACTGGCTCACACAACATTGGGTCTAACATTTCTATTGCATTTGCTAATCATTAATCAATAATTCAGGGCGGCTCTCTGGTGGTGAAGAGTCTGTGCTTCCTGGAACATATGGCAGAAGGGCAGGAGACTCGGGTTTCAGACTCGTCTTATCACAAAACACAGCCAGGGAAAACAAGATGCTTCAAGTAGTGTTTCATGCGTTCGTCTCTGTCGTTTTTTCAAGAGCTGACTTTTGTTCGTCAGCTTGTTAGTGTTAATGAGCGTGTGACTCCGGTGGCCAAAGCAGCCGGTCGTAATTTGTAGCGTTAGTCGACGTGATGCTTATCACACGAGGCGCTTTTCATTTCCCACTCATATTTTTCCAGTCGTTCTTTTCTACACTCTTAAAAATAAAGGTTGCAACAGAGGGTTTTCACAGTGAGGCCATAGAAGAACCACTGATGGGCATAAGCAAAAAGCACTTATGTTTTCATCAAAATTGTTATACATTTGTAAACAGCCACCTCCTGCGATCATTCCTCTGTTTTCCTTCACTTGTACTATCTTTGTCCAGCGATGGCAGTCATGCTTTGTGAACAGCCGGCCCAGTCTGTGAGGATTAATGGACATTTATATTTCATTAAATCTGTTGCTCAGAGGAGAATAATGTATCATTCGGCGATATTGAAACATATGTCAAGCCTATCCTCTTACCCATAATTCAGTTAGACTCACATGTGATGCTCAAGTGTTATTACAGGCCAATATATCATCTGACATTTTTGTTTAAATCTAATGCAGTGACATTTATTGATTTGTAATGCCCAATACACTAGTTGAAGTATAGTTTTGTCTAACAGGCCTCATGAAATATCATTGTGTGTCCTGATGAGAAGCGGTTCTACTTCTTAGCCTTCTGAAGAGCTGGGTTTGGGACAGACAGTCGGTCTGCTGTCAGCTTGTGTTCAGTCTGTCACACTACACTCACCTCCTGCTGTTTCAGTAATCAATACAGGCCTGAAATCAGCAGCGCTCTCCACCTCCCACACTAGCTGTTTTGTCCTGCTATCAATAATGTATTTCGTTCCCCCTTTCTAGTCCACACTCCGTCGACTCCACGCGCTGCTTTTTGCCAAACACACACTGGCTCACACAACATTGGGTCTAACATTTCTATTGCATTTGCTAATCATTAATCAATAATTCAGGGCGGCTCTCTGGTGGTGAAGAGTCTGTGCTTCCTGGAACATATGGCAGAAGGGCAGGAGACTCGGGTTTCAGACTCGTCTTATCACAAAACACAGCCAGGGAAAACAAGATGCTTCAAGTAGTGTTTCATGCGTTCGTCTCTGTCGTTTTTTCAAGAGCTGACTTTTGTTCGTCAGCTTGTTAGTGTTAATGAGCGTGTGACTCCGGTGGCCAAAGCAGCCGGTCGTAATTTGTAGCGTTAGTCGACGTGATGCTTGTCACACGAGTCGCTTTTCATTTCCCAGGCATATTTTCTGCTTTTCTACACCCTTGAAGGGGTCATCGGATGCCCATTTTCTTCTTCTTTCAGTTGATATGATTCTTTAGGGTCTCAATGTAAAGTCTATAACATACTTTGGTTAAAATTTCTCAATGGTAGTGTAAAAAACACCCTTTTTACCCTGTCAAAATCAGCTCTGTTTTCAGCAAGCCGTTTTAGTCCATGTCGCTTTAAATGCTAATGAGCTCTGCTGACCCCGCCCCTCTCTTCCGTGGGGTGACGAGCAGACTGTAAACTTCAGCCGCAAAACTGACTAACTAGCACATTATTAGGAAAGGCGCTTTGCAAAGATTCATAAAAAACCTTATACGCACTTCTTCTGTAGATGAAGCTGGATCACGAATGATTCGCGCGAACATGAACACATTTCGGCAGATCGGGGATCGCTCATTCCCTTCAAAAACGAAAGTAACGTTAATCCTCTGCGTCTTCAGCGGCTCAGATGTCGGGAATAAATGACGACTGCTATGTTCATTAAGAAAGGGGATTTAAAAAAAAAAACACTGGGTGGATTTGTATCATTATAGGGTGGATGTGTACACACACTTACAACACACATTTATGTTCAAACAACAACAAAAGTTAATTTTGAATCAGATGACCCCTTTAAAAAATAAAGGTTCCAAGAGACGGTTTTAGCAGTGATGCCATTAAAGAACCATATTTGGTCCCCAAAGAACCTTTCATTCACTCCTTAAAATAACGTATTTCTTTAAAAGTTCTTTGAAGTTTGAAGAACATATAATCTTAAGTAACAATACTATTATATAATAATCTTAATAATCTTAAGAACCTTTTTCATGAATGTTAAAGGTTCTACAAGCAACCATTAAGGAGCCAATTATTATTTATTTATTTATCTGTTTGTTTGTTTGTTTAATTATTATTGTTAAATGCATTTTATTTTATTTTTAATAAATTTTAATATTATTATTATTAATAATTATTATTTTTTTTTTTGCACTGGTGCCATAGAAGATCCATTTTTGTTTCACCAAATACACTTTGGAATCATAATAAGTGAATAATAAGTGAATCATAATAAGTGTCCCTTAAATTGTTTGACTTCCATGTGATCGCTCATTTCCCACTCATATTTTGCCAGATGTGCTTTTCTACTCTTAAAAATAAAGATCGCAGAGGGTTTTCACAGCGATGCCATAGCGAAGAACCATTTTTGGCTCCCCAAAGAACCTTTCAGTGATCAGATCTTTCAAAAACAGATGAATCCCACACACTCATATTTTAATGCAGAGTTTCAGTCAGGTGATCTTCATCCAGCATTGTTTTCCTTAGTTACCTTTTAAAAGCAATGTCTGATAAAGGTCACAATATTTTTCTATTTTCCTTTTCCTATTTTATTTTGTTTAGACAACTTATTATTGTGTTTTAGTTTGATTTTCTATGTGCAATCATGTATTCATACTTTTTTTAGCATTCTACTTTTTTATCTCTTCTTCTTTGTTCGTTGTAATATGTGTCTTAAGATTCTCTGTTTAGTTTTTAGGGTGACTTTTTAACATTCATATGAAAAATAGCCTCTTTGGCTAATTCTGGCACATTTACAGCCATGTTTATTAATGTGCATTGCCCCTGTAAACAAATAAATTAAACTAAACTAAACATTACTGAGATGCTGCATTGCAACATGATTTGGAGTGCTATAACAGTTATTTTTATTAGACTATTGGCTTTTCTTTATTCCTATGCACCTGCTCATATGATTTGTAAGCAGTTGCGCTGAAGCTTTAATTATATTTCATGAACAGTAATTAAAAGAACCATTGTTTTCTGAATGCAAGGGACATTTTAATAATCTTGAGACCCTATTTTTCACTACAAAGAATGGAAAGGTTAAAGGTTCTTCATGAAACCATCAGTGCCTGTACTTTTAAGAGTGCATGTGGTAAATCACTGAATGTTTGATTTTTGTGCTGTCGCTCATTTTCACAGTCCTCCGGCGTCTCATTTTTCATCCCAATGTCTTTGGGTAAGGTGGCACAGCTCGGAGCGGATCATCTCGTGCACCCGTCCTGCGGTCTGGAGGTGAGGATGACCAGCGCAGAGCCTGGGGTTTTGGCTGGGAACGCTTTACATATGGACGCCTCTGTGGGCATCGATCTCTGGTGAAGGATGGCAGCTCTCACATTCACCCGTGACCCGCTGATAAATCGAGGATGGCACCATAACACTCGCACTACCAGCCCCGCTCTCGCTCCCAGGGCAAGCCTTTGTTGTCCCATAAAAACATATGCGCAATATTTAACTATTAGATGATGAGAACAGACTTCCCACACTCTCTGACCGCTGAATTTCTGTGCTGTTTCTGTGACCTTCGCAGTCGCTCCTGATTGCTGGATAAGGATCTTTACAGAAACTGCTGATTAGATTGTCATTTCTCTGCCAACTATCAGTCTTCTGAAATAATAAATTGGAAAAAATGTTAGCCATGTACAAATGTCTCCAATAAAACCATGGTTTGCTGGTAAGTCAACTCAAACACTCACAAAGAAGAAATTGTAGTTAGACAAAAAATATATATTTAACTGTGGCAACTGATTAGAAAAACATTTAAGCTAAAAGCTTTAGAAAGTAGAGGAAACGACTTTCTGAAAAGAAACACTTATTAGACTCTGTCTTTACACTTATGATTCTGTTCAAAAGTTTGGGTTCGGTAAGATTCGTTAAAGTCTCACCAAAGCTGCATTTATGTGATCAAAAAACTACAGTAAAATTAGTGGCATTGTGAAATATTATTCCAATTTTTAAATAACTGTTTTCTATGTGAATATCTGTTAAACTGTAATTTATTTCTGTGATCAAAGCTGTATTTTCAGCATCATTACGCCAGTCTTCAGTGTCACATGATCTTCAGAAATCATTATAATATGCTGATTTGCTGCTCAAGAAACATTTCTGATTATTATCAGTGTTGAAAACAGTTGTGCTGCACAATATTTTTGTGGAAACTGTGATACGTTTTATTTTTCAGGATTCACAGATGAATAGAAAGTAAAAAAAAAAAACAGCATTTATTTGAAATAGAAATTGTAACATTGTAACATTAAGTAACATTACTTTTTTGTAACATTATAAATGTCTTCACTGTCAATTTAATGCATCCTTGCTGAATAAAAGTAATATTTTCTTTCAAGTAGCATACATATGTAGTTTAAAGTCTGTTTAATGCAGTCTGGTTAGTGTAATGAGCGACTGATTTCAGACCTCCCAAGTCAGGTTTCTTAGGCAGTGCTAAAATCAGCCAGAGGGATGATTGGAAAAGTGTGTATGACACCAAATCCCTGGTTCTTTTATTTATTTATGTTCCTTTCTTCCACAGCTCTTCGCTGGCTAATTCTAATGAAGAGGCCTCCGATGGCTTCATTTGCGAGGGAGTTAATTGGTTTTGCTGCTTCCTGCTGGAGTGAGTGTGTGTTTGGGCGGCAAGTGCCTGTGCGTCTCTGTCGCCCCGTTAGCTCACACTTTAATTAGATCTGGCAGCCACCTCATAACGATAAATGCTGCAGAGATGAATGGAAATGCAAATGCTGTTGAAGTAGCCCCCGCCTTCACGGTCCACCATCATTAACACTTTCCTGCTGTCAAATCTTTCAATGTCATGTGCGGGAGGGAAGGGGTGTCCCGCTGCAGTGTGCTGGGATACGCAGAGTTAAAAGTCAGAGAGGATGATGGGAGGAGAGATCGCAGCACAAACGCTCCACGGAGGCTTATCCTCAAACTCCCAGACTCTCCAAAATCCATTGCACTACATCTGTGCAGCTCTGGCTGTGTCTGCCCCTCACAAACATAACAGCAGTTTGCTTCTGTGTTACAGATACAGGCATTAAGTGTAGAAAATTAAGATGAAAATGATGTTCAGAACATGTGTGATGAGCACTTCATGATGCTTTTCCTTCATTATCTGATCCAACTTACCCAGTTTATTTTTTTAGCAGCAGATCCTTTAAGTTCTGTAAGTTGCGAGGTGGGGCCTCCATGGATCTGACTTGTTTGTTCAGCACATCCCACAGATGCTGGATTGGATTGATATCTGGGGAATTTGGAGGCCAAGTCAACACCTCAAACACGTTGTTGTGCTCCTCAAACCATTCCTGAACCATTTTTGCTTTGTGGAAGGGCACATTATCCTTCTGAAAGAGGCCACAGCCACCAGGGAATACCGTTTCCATGAAAGGGTGTACATGGTCTGCAACAATGCTTAGGTAGGTGGTATGTGACCAAGTAACATCCACATGGATGGCAGGACCCAAGGCTTCCCAGCAGAACATTGCCCAAAGCATCACACTGCCTCGGCTGGCTTTCCTTCTTCCCATAGTGCATCCTGGTGCCATGGGTTCCCCAGGTAAGCGACACACATGCACCCGGCCATCCATGTGATGTAAAAGAAAACATGATTCTTCAGACCAGGCCACCTTCTTCCATTGCTGATGCCAATGTGCTTTCGATGGTGGACAGAGGTCAGTATGGGCACCCTGACTGCTCTGCGGCTATGCAGCCCCATATGCAACAAACTACGATGCACTGTGTATTCTGGCACCTATTCTGACCCTGGTGGCTCTGGACTCTTTCAGCAGGGTAATGCACCATGGAGGCCCCACCTCGCAACTTACAGGACTTAAACCATCCTAAATTTGATCTTACAATCATCTCTCAAATATGTGTACATGTGATTCATGGAATGAACGTACGTACAGAAAACGCATGTACACGTCTCTTTCAGATGTGGAATCTATGAATCGCAAATTATATTGAACTGAATGGTTTCAGCTCTCTGCTTGTAAACAACTTCTAATTAATGTCATTAACATGTAAAAGATCACCAGTCATCATCCAAATTCTTTACTTTAGAATAGCGAGCTGTAAGAACTGCTTACATTTTCAAAAACCTGTAGTACTCCGACAGGAAAAAGTGAGTACGTCTGCTCACCGTCAACACCACGGTGTGTAATGGTGTGTAAAGTGAGGCAGCACGAAGACGAAGGAGATAAGTTCACTAGTCTTTAATAATTCCATAAGAGCAAGGTAATTCCACGGTCAGGCAGGAGACACACATAGGGACGTACATTAAATAATGGACAGGGGATCACAGGACAGACTCGAACTAAATACACAGGCAAACGAAGATAATTAACAAGACACACCTGAACCAAATGACAATCAATGGGAGACAGAAACTAGATCAGAGAACACGTGGGGAATGAAAACGAACTCAAAGTCCATGTAATGGTGACATATCGCCCCGCTCCCGGAAGGCGCGACCTTGCGCCTCAGAAACAACAACGAGTGGGATGGGTGGGGGACTTAGGAGGGGGACAAAGGAGTGGAAGTGGGATGGTTACAGGGGACGGCGATGGGCTGGCATACAAAACTGGAGGAGGTTCAGGAGGAGGACGGACCACCAGGAGGAGGACAACTAACAGAGTCTAGGGTGGAGATGAAGGAGGGAGGAGCCATGGTGGAATCAGGAGGAACCATGGCGGATCGGACAGAGGGAGGAGCCAGGATGGAGACAGACGGAGCCAGAGTGAAGACATGATGACTTGGAGCAGGAGGAAGCCATGAAGGCGACCTACGGTGGAGCCGACGGAGGGAGGAGCCATGGTAGAGGAAGGGCTGACGACTCCAGGGGACTGACCGACGGCGGCGAAGCAGGTGGTGGTGGAGCTCGAGGTGGAGACCGAGAGCCGATGAGCCAGGGCGACGAGGAAGATCTGGAGGGCCAAGGCGGAGCAGATGGCTCCGGCGACCGAGCCAGAGGGAAGGAGGAGCCTGACAGAGCCGGAGAGACGGAGGTACGAGGCGCAGCCGGAGGAGTGGAGTCCCGAGGAGACGGATGGTCGACGACTGACCAAGGCAGAGCCAGAGGGACGAGGGAGCCGGCGGAGCTGGTGGACTGACAGGCCACGGCGAAGAGGAGGGAGCTAGGAGCCATGGTGGAGCCTCTGGGTCGACGGGCCGAGGCGGAGTCCGGGACTCAGAGGTGGATGCATTGTCTCTTAAAGTGACCGCGCCTAATTTACTAGCTGCTGTCGGTGTCCTTGATGTTAATCCAAGAAATTAAGAGAGAAAATCTCTCATCGCTCTTTACTGAATTACTTTGTAGTTTTAACAAGAATTAATCCATATTAAATTTATTCAGAGAAGACTATGCAATGGCAGAGTCA